GTGTGTGTGTGTGTGTGTGTGTGTGTGTGTGTGTTTTTATATCGTCTTGCATGATTTCAAAGTATTTCCGATATGAATTACAAATCAGTTTTACAAATATCTTTAAAAAGGGATGTTTTCATTTAAACTAGAGAAATGATGGATTATTGGAGAGGAATTGTCTGATGCTTTCAGCAAAAAATTTAATCTCGAAACATGCGGAAGAGATAGGTATTTTTGGTCATTATGCGTTTCTTTTTACTTTTCATTTGCTATTTATCCTTCTTCACTATTTTCTTCTTTAGTTGAATTATTTTCTTCTTCTTTAGCTGAATAATATTTTATGAACTATTAGGTTACATAATTTCAGTGAGACAAACATGAAGAAATCTCCTTCCAAAAAATAATATGCAAAATTGTTGAATTTTTTTCAAGTTTATTTTCAGTTGCACATCTTCATTTCTTTTTTATCCAGTGTTCTCGAGTGGTTGAAGACCCAATCAATTGTGTTAGATCTTAGCATCGCTTTTTTTTGGCAACAATAAGAGTGTAATTAATCGGCAAAGTTTAATCAATTGCGTCATTGTAATGTTTTAAAAAAAAAAAATTTCTCTTATCTATACCAAATTGCTTACTAACAATATTTTGCTTAGTAATAATATTTGGTATTGAAATTAGCTTTGCAGAAATGTGCATGTGTCGTAACATCATTTTTTTTTTCATGATATTATTGATTCAATTACTGTTCTCTTCCTATCCATAGACTACTAATTTCAATTAGATCTCATATATTTTCTTACTCTTCAAAATATGTCTAACTTTCACAAAGTTTTTTTTATCCCCAGCTCATATCTTGTGTTAAAAACTTGGCCATTTTTTTTCCGTGTCAAAGATTTATTATTCATTTACTGACTAAATGAATGCTATTTTAAAGAGTTAATCATTGTTCGATGTTCGAATCGAGGATCGAATCAGTTATACACTGACTGCTTCTTTCTGTTCCCTACTCCTACGCCCTTCTATTTCTCGACCCATTAATGAGATCACATTTTTAAATAGACAACCGTCACGGAAGTGTAGCAAGTTGTGATCGAGAATTTCTGAAGGAAACTAACAATATATCCTACTGAATTATACTATTCAGTCTAAATGTTAACCAACATATTGGATCTGCAAATTTAACAAATTATTTAAGATCCATTCAATATTCTCCATTAATCCAGATCAGGTCGAAATTGCTGAAAAGATGAAGTTAGACCCTGAAAATATCCAAAAAGTGGTGGAGCAATATTAGGAACCAGTATTTAGGTTACGATTTTATTTAGGTTTTTTCTTTTTCATTTTACAACTTCCACAACATACTATAACGGCTCCCTCTCTCTTCCTTTATGTGTACGTTCATCTGTAATTAACGTATCACGTGCATCACGTGTTGCTTTCCCTTAAAAAAAAGCTGTTACAACAATAATTTTCTTATCAGCAGATTTTCATACTAATGCACGTAAGGCTTATAACATAACTGCTTACAATACATGCACATTCATGATACTTCTCACTTACCTCAAAAACTTCATTGCCAGTCAATGCATGCTGCATGCATAATGATTATCGTTTGCATCGTTCAACATCTCTCTGTACGTTATCAGCATTTCTACACACATATAACTTGCACGAGAAGTGCATTTCGCATTCAGCAGTCACAGTGCACTGCACTACGAACGGATGAGAAAAGTGCAGCTATGTCTGACTCCTCCCCTCTCCATGTATGCTTCTGTCCGTTTCTATGTCTTTCCCCAGCTTCTCTCTCTCTCTCTTCTTTCCTTCCCCCGCACCGTTCGGGGGGAAAAAAGTGTTCGTTATTACATCACAATGTTCTCCTGTGTGTGTGTGTGTATGTATGTATGTATGTATGTGTGTGTGTGTGTGTGTGT